TCACTTGATGAGTTTTAATAAAGGTTTTCGTTCATGTATTATCAAATAATGATGTTATGACATCAATTTTGTTTGAGGTTGCATTTATAATCAATCAAAAATCACATATATTAGTTAAATTACATTCGCGGTGGGTAAATTTGGATAACTACATTCTTCATTTCTCTTGTATAAGAAAATTCAAAGGCACACTGATTTTAAAGTCTAATTGTAAAATAGTCGTAGCCTTAACACAAGCTTTAGGTCTGAAGTTTGAAACGACAAAATTAATGGAAAATCTAATAATGAATTGAATAATGCATGAAGTCTTCGGGGGGCGCGCTTCATGTCTTTTGACTGTACACCTTAATGCAAGCAATTTGACTTGAAAAGTCCCTTATAGGKTTTTGCTATCACAGATAAATTGTTAATACCTTAGTTGTAAGGCAAAGCTAATTTTTTAGAGTATCGACGCCTTTTTTTGATTAAAGATAGACTATATAGTCCATTTGATAAACTAGAGCAAAACTTGATTAAAGTCTATAACCAACTGAGATGCTTCAGCTCCCTCTCTTTTTAATTAATTTGATTTTCCTTTTTTATTTATACTGGCTCAAGCAATTATGACATGACAGTAACTTTAAATCTGTCCATTCTTGTAATTCTACGAGTCAACCGACAGCTGCAGTAAACACACAATATTGCTTGTACCTTTAATATGGTATACTATATATACTTATCTTAAAACTGCGCAAGTTAAAACTTCTTTCCAGCATGAACAACACCACTAATAAATTTGAAAATCGACAGTTCTGTTCACAATACGTAGTTCCTACGAATTCTGACATTGGAAGTTTATTGATTATAACATCACTCATCTTTATCGGTGGATTTGGGATTTTTGGGAACATCTTTATCATCATTTTAGCTGTGAAATACACAGTCCGAAGAAGTCTGCATCATTTTATYATAAACATGGCTACCTCGGATATATTTGTGGTCRTGATGACATTTGGTATAGAGATTGCTAGTTTATTTGAGYTAAAATGGGAAAGTTYTATGRAGGAGAGTGYTAGAAATGTCCTCTGTACCTCTATGAGCTTCATCCTGTTGGCAGGCATGTGGACAACRTTTGTCAGTCTGTTGATAATCACCATTGTGCGATTCAAAGCGACGCGAATAACAGCTCACAGATCAAAACCAAATACGCTCAAGCGGTGCTTTATTSAACTCATCTGTGCTTGGGTGACCGCTTTGTTACTTGCTTCAGCAGARACGGCGTTCAAACGTGGYTTCTATAAGTTTGGTTTKCCCGAATCTTTTTTARATGGAATTATGTTTTTTTTATACTGCGTTGTCGTCGGTACTTATTGTATTATCTTCGTTCTTAATGCCATAACATTAAGAAGACTTTCAAACCAACCACCAATTCAAAGATGCATCCCTGAAGCTCAGAGACAAGTCAGAAAGAAGCGTACATCAAGTGCAATTAAGATGGTTCTCTGTTCGCTGTTTCTGTATATTTGCTGTTATCTTCCCTATGATATCAACGGGATATTTCTAATTTTTGGAGAAACATATCAAAATATTAATGAAAAAAGTAAATTTTTCCTTTTTGTGCTACTTCCTATRGTGAATTCATGCTTCAGCCCTTTTATTTACTTGGTTTTTATGTCTGACTTTCGACAAGCAGCGAAGAGSTTGATTTTTGAACGATCTAACCGAAATTGCGACCTCAAAAGACATGCACAGCCTTRTCGGACATCTCTGAAGGTGCTCGAGATTAAGGAGAATGATGGTAGTCCAAAAAGAGTTCGWAYTGCTCCTTTTAGAGGAAACASAGAAGAGAGAATTCAAACTGTCGCAGTATAAGGACCAAAATTAAAATAACGAACGTGTATAGCGATTTTATTTGAAAGCTAAACTATCTATAAAATACTCAAAAGTCAATTAGAGTTCTATTTAAAACAAACTGTAAAAACCTATACATCATCTAGCTTCATGTTCATTGAACTTTGGTTGTCGTAGAGATAATTTCGTGACAATTAATTTTATTTTAAGTTTAGTCATTTCTGAAATTGGTTCAGGAGTATTATATGCTTTAGAAGATCTCAAGGAACAATTATCTGTTATAAACTGTTCCAAATGATCTGACGCTAAATAAATAAACAGTGCCTTTATTTAGTAAACGAGATTTATCTAAAGAGATTATAGAAAAGCAACATAATTGATTATGCTTTCACTTGAAAAATCGCGCGCCATAAAGGTTGTAAATTTGATGGAAATATAATGTAAGTGTCCAAAATGATGTAAATTTGATGGAAATGATTTACATCAAATTGCATCATTTTGGACACTTACATCATATTTACATCAAATTTATAACCTTTATGGAGCGCGATTTTTCCAGTGTTTTGATGTATAATATCGAGAAACTCCACGAATGGTGTACCGCAGGGACCTAAACTTGATCCCAAATTTGTCAAGGTATGCACCGCCAAAATTGTCGTCAACACTTTATTGATATCATTCTTTAYCATGATAATGTAATAACAAAGGTCGACTTTGGTGACACAAAGCAACACACACTTTATTATWCAGAAAGCAGATCAAATCTTACAATGTCAACAACAACACCTTAAATATAGGTTGAAAAGACTTCACATGTTTCGACTGACATATTTMGCGTGGGAAAATTAATTAAAAGATCTCAATGAAATAACAGACMATGCAAAATACCAAAGATTGTCTTTTTTGTTGAAATATGGTCTGAGTCAAATAAAATACATTGTTTATTTACACTTTTTCATCAGGTTAGCCAAGTTGAATCAATATTCAAGACAAGCTGTTGAGTTGAAATTATAAGTTATGATTTATTATAAATTGTAAAGAAATCATAAGATGCGACCGAATCGCCGCGTGGGACGTAGTTAATAAAAAAGGACTAATAATAAGTACTAACTGAACGGTAYATTCAAGATGGCGGTGTATAAACTAACACAGGAACCCCAATATGTTGATGGGGTATACCGCTGACTGACAACCTTATTAGTTGTTAAAAATGTAATTATATTTTATTTAGAACCTTTTACACTCGATTCAACTCATCAAACATTTTATATATTCATTATCGTTTATCAAAACTCAAGAGTAGTTTTTAAGTGCAATAGTGTAGCTACTAGCACAGCAAGTTGKATCTTAACTGCAAAGTTCTCAGGTCTTATGACGTCAGGATTATCTTGATATTCAGTTCATTGTACTAATCGTGTACAAAGTTATTTTTAGTGTGACAAACGTTTTGCGAAAAAACAATCTCCTTTTTCAACTTTTCATTGACACACTTAATTCGCATAATCAGCACGTAAGAGCTCACAAAGCAGTGGTAGAAAAGAAAAACTACAAAGAAAGTGCCATCTAAAAATTAACTGAAGACTTGTATGAGCACATACGAATATAGCGAATAGTCATATTTCCTTTACCGACAGAATGGCACACTTGATGAATCTTCACAATCTCTTTTCCGTATGCAAAATTTTCCTTTCACATATAACTACCACCTAAAATAGATTTTATGATTTATTAGTTTTATTTATTTATTTCTTATTAATTTTATTGGGGGAGGGGGCCTTTTTAAATTATTTTTTTTCTGTTGTTGTTTTGTTTTGCCATGTTTTTTTTGTTATCATCTTAATTATTTGCAAAAGAAAGCAAAAATGTGCAAAGTCTGCGTCATTTGATCATAAACATGGTCGACGCAGGTACATTTGTAGCCACGATTTCTAATATTCGTTTACAAGTTTTTTTTGAAAGAGAAAGTGATCATGTGAACAATTTATTAAAACGTCGATGCCTCATAAATACGCCGTAAAATACATATATGTATTAATTTCATGAAACCATTGAGACAAAGATAAGATTAGATTGCCAGATGTCATGATATATGAAAACACATACAAATATAGTGAATAGTCATTTCCTTTCCCGACAGAATGGCACACTTCGTACGCAAATATGAAATGAATAACGTGAGACCGTTAGATTGATGTGATATCGATATTTATTATATAATTATCTATGAAATACCTATATTTCTCCGTTAAGTAAAGTTGTTAGAGCAGATTTCGTGTGACTGTGCAACGGCACGGATCACAACACGGACACGGACACGGCACGGCACGGTCGCGGAACCTCGCCTTCTAGGATTCCAAATAAAAATAAAGATTTAACAATACATCACCGCTACGGCACGGTACGGTCACAGCACGAAAATACCTTGTTTTTTTTGCACAGTCATACGAAACTCGCTCTATTTTCACTAGTCTCACGTTATTCATTTCGTATTTGTGTACGAAGTGTGCCATTTTCGTATGTGTTCATATATAGTGACATAACTAGTGAAAATAACACATTCGAGGTTTCTCTGATATAGTGGAAGAAAGACAAAAGATATTTTACCACATAATTTGCTTTCATATGTAATTATATGACAAAAAGAATATTACATGGTCGCTTGGAGATACGAATTTTGTCTTCTCGCGTGCTCACTCGTGAGAGATCTTTTCAACAATCGAATATAAAATTCGTATCCGTCCACGCGCCCATGTAATATCCTCTATATCTGACGTCACTGACTGTTAAATTCAAATCAAATGGGTATGATGGATATAAAATTGTCATTTGAATGTAAATGAAAATCATAGATAATATACATGAATATAATTTAAAAAAGACAACAAAAATTATGATATGTATTTATTACATTTTTCAGAACACATACATGTAACAAATGTTAAAATTAAATAAATATAAAAAGGCAATAAACATATAAATATAAATATGAAAATACTATTAAACTATTACTATTAAACTATTATTCCTTCGCTTCCAAAATATTTTTGAAAACTAGTCTATTAAAAAAGCCGTTTTTAAAACGGTCTGTATATTGATCTAAGGTCTTACCGAGCATTGTATACGTAACTTCTTAGAAAACTCTAACTTTTTCTAGGAACTGTTTATGTCTTTAATTAACAAACAAACAGTAATGCAATATTGAAAAAATAGCAACGTGCAATCAATACACTGAAATTCTTATTGCTTCGCTTCTATCATCATGTGGCTTTAGTTTCAATGAATGAATCTTCTAAAAAAAGCAGTGCAAAGATTGCCTGTCTTTGATAAATTTATTTTATCGTTAAAGGGACGCCGCGCCAACAATAAATATTGACATTTTAAGAATCTTTCCCAGTTGAAAAAAACCTAATGATATCGACTACTTTTTTGGCAGGTGGGATAGCTTTTGGTTTGACATAATTTGCTCTGGCTTTATCTAAATATTGTTAATTAATCTTTAAGCGCACATCAGTTTTAAGAATCCTTCCCAAAACAGTTGTGCAATGAAGAAGTCAGTTGTGATATCGATTTTTTTCTATGATTTGCATCTTATCTGAGATGGTTTTGGTTTAATACTAAGTTCTCGAACTGTATGAAGTTGTGATATCGAATTTTTTTAAGAGTTGCTTTCTTTTCATCTGGGATATTTTTTGGTTTAATATGTGCTTCAACTTTATGTAGGTAATCGTATGAGGGCTATATGTATATAGACTTACTTTTTCTTGAAATGGCCGCCACCAATAAATACTGACATCCTGCTATGCATATCATTAAAGCAGATCAACCAATGAAAGCATTAACTGATTGTACATCT